TGACCAAACTAGACTTTAAGTTGAAGGTTTTATGGGCTAAAATATATCTGTAGATGCCATAGTTAGCTTTGTGGCAGATTCTAAGATACTTTTGAAAATTTGCTAAATTAGCAAAAGAACATATAATAATATTCTGTATTCTTAAATATATATATTTGTGGTAGTAGTAGTAAAAACACTTAAAGCGCATGTCAATAAAAAAGACGAACACTATTCCATTTGCAAAAACCGTTTTCAAGAAGATTATTTTTAAAAAGACTATTTTTAAGCAAATTTAAACAAGAAATGTTTGCTGTAAGTATCATCTGCTGTTATAAGTAATTCTTTGGATTCCTCGAACGCAAATGCTAAAAAGTTTACAGTAAAAAGCTCAATCCGCAGAGCCCAGTCAGTGGCAGGTGGGTTTACAATCCTAGCACAGCATAAGTTGAACTAATGTAAGACAATATGGCCAGAGCGACCCTTATCAACTATAACTTCACGATAGCTACAAAACAAAACCACATATTTGCAAACATATAAAGAAATTGAAAGATACCGGCGTGCTTGATGCTATCGCAAAATTATTCCAAATTTCACCGTTTTGCCTCTCTGCTTCTTACATTATTTTTTTATTTTTCCGTCCGATGGCAGTCGCAAGCCAACTCCCATAAATTATAGTTCGGAAGCTCTGTTAAAGGGGTTTTGGTATATTTTTTTATTTTTGTTTAGCCCTTTGAAGAATTTATGTCCCCGTCTTACTTAGCAGCGGCGGTCAGCCGGCGAGTTGTCCGACTCTAAGATATGTTGGCCTTCCGATGGCAAACTTACAACGCTATAAGTATTTTGTACAGAGTTTTGTAAGCCTGTACACGTTTTAGATTTATTTTAGCTGGACGCATTAAACTTTATCGACTATAATTAAGGGATTATGAAATTTGGTGAGTATGGCATCTGGTTTAATAATATTTATAAAGTTACCTAAACATTTTTATATTTATGAAGTATACAAAGATGTTACAATGACATTGAAGACTTGATTTGCAACAACAAGCGTTAACATTATTAAGTAACAAGCGATTAAATCACTAAAATAGTTTATTATCTAAATCGGGGACCTAAATTCGTTTGGGAATCCTTGGAGGATCTCTGTGAGTTTGTTATGTCTGTATGTAAAATTAATCAACAACAAACATTTTGTAGATAATTAAACAGATATGTAACAGATATATACTGTTTACAATTAGTTTTCATCATCTATCTATTTAACACTTTGTAAATATTTAATAGCACAGATAACCTCATACTTGGTCGACTTCGTGTAAGGCTCCGAATACCCTTTCTTTGAAATATTTATATTTAAAACTATGAATGAGTTAAAAGTTATCAAACGAGATCCACTTACTCACACAATACAATTTAATAGTTAATTTCCATCATGCTTTTGTAATTCATCATAGTTTAAAATCGCATAACATATTACATAAGCCGATGACGTAGAACAATGGCGATCGGAAGCCACGTGGTACAAGTCGTGACAGTTCAACGCAGATCATTTCCAATTGTTTAACTCAAATTGCGAGAGAGTATGAATTGTGTGACGTCATTTTAAACTCACTTGTAGGTATACAAATTGTTTATACAGGTTTAAAATTAAACCTTTATAAATAAGTTTTCTTAAAGTCTTTTTCGACAGTTATTTTGTACTCTTTATTTTTTTTACCAAGCATTTCAATTTAGTATGAGTCTTTAGTTATTTTTAACTCTATTTAATTTAGCTATTCAAAATACTACTACCAACTCTATTTTGTTATTTTTCTGGAATATTTTTAGATGCAATTTGCATTGAAAGTTTGAATTACCCTGACTAAGATATTTTTAAGAAAATGCTGTGTAAATTTTCTTCAATTAAAGCTAAAAACACTCACCAGAAAATCTTTTTTATCAAAAAAATAATTAAATTTAATTTAATGATGATACCACTAAAACAGACGTTAAACTTATAACACCCCTTTTTTTGCATGTGTTGATGTATATTATCACAGTTTTGTTATTGTTTATTTTTATCAAATTCTATTTAGTCTGGACTGAAATAAATTTCCTCTCTATAGCCATTTTGTGACATAACATTAAGCGTCGAAGGTACTCGCAAAAATGTTAGTACGACTCCATAAAGCAAGATCTGCTATAATATAGAAAAAGCACATTTCACAAATAACCTTTATCCAAATGACTCTAAAACGCGATAGCAGACAAAACGGATTCCGAATACTGGCAATTGGAATAGTTTTCAGTTTTTTTCTTCACGTTTTAAGTTCGGAAGGCATTCTAACGGTATTCGGCAGACATAGTTTGGACGGACGCGACAACACTTTTTATGTTATTTTTCTACTGACCTCCGCGGACTCGCGATCGGTTTCGGATACTTTTAATCGGTCTCTTAATAAATACGAGAGTTTCTTGTCCCCAATATGTCTATACTATAAGGCGTATTACTTATGAAAATACAGTAATGTCTTCATTTAAATGGATTTGAATTTCAATTGTACCATGCATTCGAACAGATTTGATTAAACAGTCAAATTTGTGGGATACTCATTAACATGAAAGTTTATCTAAACCCAACCATTGTCTTTCACAGTTGACATTTATAAAAGTTTATTTGGTATTTTAATATGAATGCTTGATTTTTACAGTATTTGAATATAAGTTTTATCGGCGCGGGATGATTATGACAAAAAATCATTCAGCCAGCTCTAATTGCATTCAACGCCGGCCGAAATTAAAAAGAAAAGTCACACACCAAGAATCCCGCCTATTTTTAAAAATGGAACCCGACGATGATTCGCCTAATTAATAAACCAATCACGTACAGTCGAGACGCGGCGTCGAGGCGCGGCGGACGTGCGGGCGCGGGGGATGAACGCTCGGAAATTCGAATACTATATTTTTTCTGCACTCAAAGCATCGCAATGTAACTAGTAATTGGCTTGACGGCCAATGATAACGAATTTAGAATGCAATCAATTATTTATAAGTTATTACAAGAAATTTTCACAAGGTACACAAAATATGCCCAAGTAAGTTAAATAGCTAGAAAATATCTGCGATACTGTTGACATTGGCTACTTACAGTTAAATGCATAAAAAAATGAATCGACTCGATAGTTAATCTTGTCAAATCAATATGGAAAGAATAAAACTAAACTCCTGATCGGATTCTCAGAACATTGTTATGAGAACGTATCGGATTATATGACACAGCATTATGGTTTCTCTTTTGATTGAATGGACATGAATGAGGAGACTTTATTAACAAAAGATCTCTCACAATATTTACACCGAAAAAATAGTTAAAAAATATCAAGTTTGGGGTTTTATGAGAAAAATATCATTTATCAAATAAATGCGTTCTCAGTTATGTCCTTGCACAGCGTGACTGCAAAAACTAGTTGAATAATAAATGTGTTTGATGGCAACACTGGGCCCGAGGAAGACCGAAGAACGGCGAAAAAGGGCGAAGATTAGCGAGTGCGCGCTTTTTGTTTGCATCAATCGATGCGCTCGCGCATTCGCACAATGAATAATTCAGGAATTGACATGAAATGGCGTATGGTTCTTTTTTTAAATGAAAGGTGCCCGATTGAGGACTGTAACCGCCTGACGAATTCATTGGTCAACGGCTTTTTGCGTTCGGTAATTGCTGTATTTACTTTATAGGTTATGAAATGAAATTAATGCATACCTATGATCCCGACCTATTCATACAAGACTTTGATGTATTCTTAGATATTTAGTTAAATGGAGGGACAGATTCTACACAACTTGCAATAAATTTAAATTTACGGCTAAACCGCAAATAAAGCCTCGCCTTGGTCTGCCAATATATAAAAATAAATTGTATAGTACTTTAGTAAGTGTTACACAATTACTTTAATGACAGAATGTTTAAATGTCTGCCTGCCAGTGCATACTTTATATCTAGAAAATGAGCTCAATTAAAAAGAAAAAAATATAATTAATTAATTCGAGTAATGCTGTTAATGATGCATCGAAAACTTGCGTTGATTTCCAAGTATAAGTGATCTCGTCATCTTAATTCTGACTGCGACTGGCGAGGAGGTACTCTCTGCAGTTTTTGGGTAAATGGCTTCATCCCGCACTCCGGGAAGCTGTCAATACCTTATCAAGTTATGGTTATGACGGCTTTTTACGTATTTTCATAAAGATATTTTCATTATCTTGGTTATAAAAACAGGGTAATTTGCCTGTTTCACTTGCAGCTAACGTCGTTTACAAAGATGGTTGGATGGTATTGTACGGTGTGGGAGAAAACGTGCATATTGCAGGTTTTTGCTTCTTTGATATCTACACTAAGTAGGAGATATATAACGGAAAATATATGTGCGTAAATGTATGGAAGAATTTTACTTCTAAATTTTGATATTAGTGACTAGTTAAATAAACGTTTTGAATAATGTGTCAAAGTATTATAATTTAAGGCTGAGCTATGTATTGTGGAGTATATTTGACCTCAATTCTCCAAATAATTTTACTCTAGCAAAAATTTAAATAATAAACATGAAATTTATCTGAATAAAAGTAGTTTTTGTTGGTTATTGGTCGATAATAGAAAGATGTTTTTTTAAAACAAGCATCCAAAATTCAAACAGAAAAAAGAAGGAAATATGCAGTAGGTACTAAGACCAGTCTCAAGTACTTGAACCGTGATATCGATTACGTAAATAACAAAATTTTAAAATACAATCTGATATCTAAGTGAACTTTAATATCAGTTTGTATGTTTGTCTCAAAATCGCTATAAATACGGTACTCTTAATAGCGTAAGACACCATACATTAAATCTAGGTTGAGTGGATGCCAATGCTATTGCAATGTTATATATATGCAATTTACTAACATTATATCAATTCAAACCAGACAAGAACATACAATAAATATTAAATAAAATATATTTGGTGGTTATTGGGATAGCTGAAGACAACATGAATACTACTCACTTATAAGAAGAGAATGCCATATTGTTGTCAACGCAAGATTGTTCGTCCACCGCGCCGCCGGCCGTGAGCATCAGGGTGTTCATTCGGGATCGATTATCGGCACAAAACGATCGATTACAATCTATCGTTGCACTACACTACTGGTTCAAAGTCCGCACGTGCGTCAATGTGACGCGGTTGCACATTATGTACGTCACATCACTAGTGTTTGTTTCATATCTGAAATGAAGACAGAAACATACATTAGTATAAGGTTAGTATTAGTTTAATACTGTAGTAGGACTAATGGCTATGGTAGTACCGACTTTTTTACATTTTATGGGGGCAAACGAACAGACGGGTCACCTGACGGTAAGTGACGCACTTGTGACCCTCAACTCGAAAGTCATAAGTGCGTTGCCACCTTTTGAGTAACTCTAATAAAATAAAGATACTCTAAACCTGAGCGGCGGAATTCTATGTGTTTTAAGCATGAAAAGATTAGTTCTGCCGATCCTCTGCTTGTCGTGATAGTTTAAAGACTTCGTTAGAATTATCGTTCAGATCAGCAGGCATCCGTACGAAAAGCAAATTAACTGGTGTTAATAAAACCAATTACCACGGTCTGGCATTTCAAGTGTAAACTTGAGCCGATTAAGGGGGGTCACCGTGCAGTCTGTTGTACAAAAACATTTTCTAATCTTATGAAAGCCCTGTGTCAGATTTGACGGAGATAGCAACCCGTGTTTGTACCGACCAAACCGGCCCGCCGCCATCTTGGACCTGATTGACAGCTGTCAATGTTGGCGGCACTGCGACGCGTCGCCGCGCCTGCGCACTCCAGTATACCGCGCGCCACTAATTCGTTTTGAAAATAATATTGCTTTTTGTTTTTCTCATTGACGTCCAATTGTTGTGATCCTTCTAATATGATTGCTTCTACTTCAAAATAGTTTTATTAACTGCCGCTTTTTTGTTTTTATTCACACCGAGATTATGAAGGAGGTTCTTAATTACTTTTTGTTTTCTATTTTAATAACTTGACTTAGTTCTGAAAATAAGAAATACTGATTATAACAAATATGTGACGCAAAAAGAGGAATAATTACAATTTAATTTAAATTTATGGGTAATTTTTGGTTTGTTGAACCTAAGTAATATTTTTACTTGCTCACAAATTACCAACTGTATTCGCTCATACCGACTAATCTCTTAACGGAGTATTCATACTAAACTGTGACGTCATACGAGTGTCATCATCATCATCATCAACAGCCTTTACTAGACCACTGCTGGACATAGGCCTCTCCTTAGAAAGCTGGATTTGGCTTACTATACAAAGCTATTGAGACGGGTTGGTATAGTTTTTGTTCCATGCTTTCCTTCACTTTGCATTGCTGTTGTCCATACGGGTGTAATTAGTATTTTTATTAGGTGAGGTAGATAATTATATTCTTAACATAGCATTTAAGAAACTATTTTTACATTTTCTAACATTATCATCATTATCATAATTAAATACAAAAAATTGTGTAATCATAATAAATATAAACGATATAATTCAATTTTACAACATCTCGACATCAGAGAACAGCACATTTTTAGTCTATAATCTACACTATCTATGTTCTGTTTAGCAGCTATTGAGCATTTATACCTACACATGTAGTATTGCAAAGAATTACAGACTCTTTAAATTTTATACAAACTCATTTAACTTTATGGTTCGATAAGAAAATAATGTAATTAATATTGATTCAACTTTAGCTATTGCCCACGGCTTCGTTAGTATTAGTGTGAATTTTAACCGACATCAAAAGGATTCTCAATTCGGCTGTATTTTTTATTATGTTTGCTAGGTGAGAACTCCGTCATTTATGAACAGACATTTATGACTTTATTTTTTGAAAGGCGATTCAGTTTCGTGATACTCTTTTAAAAGTCACGCTGCCCCAAACTTAATCCCCTCCCCTCTATCCGGAACAGTACCATAGGTCCTACTCTGTAACCCTAACAACGTAAATGCAACATTCCATAATCGGCTCAGCAGTTGAGTGTATCAAATGTAACATGAGTTAGGAGTAGTGTATTTGTGGACTGTCTATCTTTTTCATACTAATGAATTGTCAAACTTGACAGTATCTAAATGGTTGCTAGTATCAAGATTACTAGGATAGATAGGATATTTCATAGATAGTTGGATTGATTTTTATGCTTAGAACTCCGCTGCTAAGAGCCATGTAGTCAGGAACTTTCCATAGTAAAATTAATTTTACAAAATGGCTGCTTGGAAACAATCGCAAATTGCCATAATGTAAACTATTTTACCTTTAGTTTTAAGTACAATAAAGAGTAGATATATATATTTATTTGCTATCAGCACTTTTACTGAAAGAACTAGTGTATCCTAAGAATAGAAAATTTCAATATACATCGTATGTCGCATCTTTTAGTGTAAGTAGGTATAATGCAGTTAATTTGGATAACGTCAAAGTGGAACATGATTTGTTCTTTGACGCCATTATAATGATTTATATAGCGGTTTACCTCCACTCGTCACTCAATAACTACAACTGTCGTCGATGTGCCATGGTCTCATCCCCGTTATACATTCACGCTTATATTCTCTAGAGGGTAGGTAGAAGTATAATAGACACTCGCTTTTTTTCCAAATATCATTAGGACCATAGCATGACCAAAGCCATTTCAAGCTCTTTTTAATTCTAGACAGCCATTTAAAGCTATGATTAAACGACGTGCTATTGATCAGTTTCGTACATAAAAACGTTACCATACTAATAACCACTTCACAAATCTCACACACAGCAGTCTGATCCCAAACACGGCAGAGCTTTTACTATGGTAATCAGACTACTGATAAACATCCTTGTAAATTTCTGAATACGTATGTGTAATCGATAAATTATATCTTCTAAGCTCATTAATTAGGATCGTAATAGGAAAAATCGATACTTTTATTTAGAGTTTCTTACAAGTAAAAAAACAATAAAATCTCTATAAGAAATAGTACGGGACGAAGACGAAGACGAAAGATATTTACAATATTTTTAATACTTACATTTTATTGATAAATCACACCCAGATAAAGAACAAGCAATTTTATTCGTTACACATGTATTAGTCGTAGGTGTGAATCGAATCCTCGAGCAGTCAGACGTCTACTAACCACTACACCAAAATCCTCAACGTGTTGTTACAAGGTTTCAACGAATAACATATCTCATTAAATATAACCTAAAATATTTCAATAAAATGTCACAGTAACAATGCTTAACTGTGTTTAATATAACGATCAAAGTCAAACCACAAGTACTAAGATTTTAATAATATTTGTCCTACCTATTGTCTATACACCGTTACACGCTTACAATAATAATAGTTTTTCAAATTGCAATTCTACCTACCTACCTAATCACTACTAAGTGTAAAATCCCATTTATAGGTAAACAGAAAACAACATAACTAAATTAATTTAATACCATCGACAATGAAACCTCTTTTATACTTTCTAATCCTTTCGCGCCCTAAAATGTTTTGACATTTACCAAGACAGTGCCCCAGTTCCAATCGACGTATCGATAAAAATCTCGCTACTGAACTTACCGATAATCACAACAGCGTCACCGCACTACAAAGATGGTAATCTAAGTGGACGGCTTGACACAACACTGTGTATCGACACCGATACAAAAAGAAATGGCGAGCATGTTGAAAATAATAGCTAAAAAAGGTTTAACAAGAATCCAGGGCCTGCATGGCCTATGTATAATTTTATATAGCTTGAAGCTTGTTTAAAAAACTTGATGTTCTATTAATTAGAGATGGAACTAAATCTATCGATATCAGATGAGTTTTTTTTAAATCTGACATTAATTACAGATATGTTTTGTTATGTAATAGTGTACCATACGTAATTTACAATTTAATGCATACATACTATTCACATTATAGTATAACTATCTGAGAGTGAAGGTTGAAATTATTAATAAAAACTATTCCCATGCCCATTTTTAGCCATTCATGCTTATATATACATATATCAGCATGATACCACGACATCACAGTAAGCCGGTGTTAAGCAGAGGGCCAAGTGTGAGATTATTTCACATCAACTCGCTCTCCACAGCGAGCGCATTCGGTGTTGCTATTGGTTAACATTTCAGTGCGAGCCAATCGCAGCGTCGAACGCGGTCACCGAGACGATCGAGTAGATGTGAAACAGGCCTCAGTTTCTTCAATGTTTTTACCCGGGTGAGTGAACCTTTCCCTTTCCCCTATGACTCTTGACTGGAACGTGTCCATGGACGGCAGTTGTCACTAGGTTACCTGATGGTAAGTGACTACCGAATTGATAACCTCCTCTTTTGTGTTTTTGAAGTCGGTTAAAAACGCTCAAAAATAAATATAAGCTTTGTTTAACGTGCAATGACAATGGCTTCTACTTTTCAAGGGCCATGTAGCTTATAATTATTCTATCATTTTTGTACCTATCCCGCTTGTTTTAACCTTTTTGTGCTCAGACTGTTAACATCCATTGGTATCCAGGTGTCTTTCTTACCCTTTGTGGCTGCGTCAGGTCCTTCAATGATGGCCACTACAGTCTTAACACTTTCTGTAGATTCAGTTTTGTATTAATTTTCTGTCTGTATTTGAGTGTTTCGGGTAACACTAATTCTTTGAATCAAATCATGACAACCTCAACGTTAGACAATACACCAGTAACATCATCCTCCGCTCCTTTTCCAAACTCAGTTAGTGGCGGCTTTTCAGTCCACTACGACATTGCTGACCTTAGCTTTTTTTACGTGGAGCGAGTGCCATTAGATCTGCACCACACAAGAACTAGACGAGGTTCTGTAGATATACTGTTGTCAGACTTTTTAGGACTTCAACTACCTATACTTGATGATTGCCACCAACGTTGGTATGACAACCGGGACCAACCTTAAGGTGCTCTTCGAGGCACGAAGGGGTCTCAAAGTGTTACACATCCATAGCCTGACCTGGCTAGAATAGCTTAACTTTACAGTGTGCTAACCTACTACAAGCCCCTCTAAAACTAGTACACGAGTAACAATCATAG